AAAAAAAAAAAAAAAAAAAAAAAAAAAAAGAACCTCCAAAAGTTATGCTAGTGATTAATGTGTGGAAGGAAGACTGTTCCCTGGCTCTGATTTATGTAATTCAAAACGAAGAAATGAGGCCAGGTGCAGTGGCTTACGCCTATAATCCCAGCACTTTGGAAGGCCAAGGCGGACAGATTGCTTGAGCCTGGGAGTTCAAGACCAGTCTGGGTTACACCATGGTAAAACCCTGTCAATACAAAAAATACAAAAGTTAGCTGAGCACGGTAGTTTATACCTGTAGTCCCAGCTAATCAAGAGGCTGAGGTGAGAGGATCACTTGAGCCTGGGAGTGGGAGGCTGCAGTGAACTAAGATGGCACCACCGTACCCCAGCCTGGGTGACAGAGCAAGACCATGTCTCAAAAAAAAAATTGGGCACAGTGGCTCATGCCCGAAATCCCAACACTTTGGGAGGCCAAGGCAGGTGGATCAAGAGGTCAGGAGCACGAGGTCAGAAGTTCAAGACCAAGCTGGCCAAGATGGTGAAAACCCCATCTCAATTAAAAATACAAAAATTAGGTGGGTGTGGTGGTGGGCAACTGCAATCCCAGCTACTCCAGAGGCTAGGATTACAGGCGCTTGCTACCACACCCAGCTAATTTTTGTATTTTTAATAGAGATGAATCCAGTAGCTAGGATTACAGGTGCTTGCCACCATACCTGGCTAATTTTTGTATTTTTAATAGATATGGATTTTGCCATGTTGGCCAGGCTGGTCTTAGAACTCCTGGCCTCAGGTGATCCACCCACCTCAGCCTCCTAAAGTGCTGGGATTACAGGCATGAGCCACCACACCCGGCCCTTTGATGGTTTTATTTCAATGACTTAACAGCTGATTTTTAAAAATAAAGCATAGGCTGGGTGCAGTGGCTCACACCTGTAATCCCAGCACTTTGGAAGGCCAAGGTGGATGGATCATTTGAGGTCAGGAGTTTGAGACTATCCTGGGCAACAAGGGTGAAACCCTGTCTCTACTAAAAATAAAAATTTTTTTTTAAATTAACAGAATAACATTGAATTTTTAAAATTCTGTTTCATCTCAAGCCTGTAATCCCAGCACTGTGGGAGGCCGAGGCGGGTGGATCACGAGGTCAAGAGATCGAGACCATCCTGGTCAACATGGTGAAACCCCGTCTCTACCAAAAATACAAAACATTAGCTGGGCATGGTGGCGCGTGCCTGTAATCCCAGCTACTCAGGAGGCTGAGGCAGGAGAATTGCCTGAACCTAGGAGGCGGAGGTTGCGGTGAGCCGAGATCGCGCCATTACACTCCAGCCTGGGTAACAAGAGTGAAACTCTGTCTCAAAAACAAAACAAAAAAAAAATTCTGTTTCACTCATCTTGTCTAATCATTACATAAATACAAAGAACAAGCTATATACCTTGATATTAAGTTTCATACTTTGAGTAAAAACTTCATTGAAAAGGTAATAAATTATATACACTAATTTTTAGTCAAAAAATTACGTATTGCTTTTATTTTTTTACCCTCAATGAAAATTATATGTGCACACGTCATACTTTTATTTTTTTAAGACAGAGTCTTGCTCTGTTGTACAGGCCGAAGTGGTGTAATCTTAGCTAACTGCAACCCCTGCCTCCCGGGTTCAAGCAATTCTTGCCTCAGCCTCTCTAGCAGGTGGGATTGCAGGCGTGTGCCATCACACCCAGATAATTTTTTTATTTCTTCTTTTGTATTTTTAGTAGAGTCAGGGTTTCGCCATGTTGCCCAGGGTGGTCTCAAACTCCTGAACTCGTGATCCACCTAAATCACTCTCCCAAAGTCCTAGGATTACAGGCGTGAGCCACTGTGCCCAGCCTATGCTTTATTTTTAAAAATTAGCTGTTGCTGGGCGCGGTGGCTCATGCCTGTAATCCCAGCACTTTGGGAGGCCGAGGCGGGTGGATCACGAGGTCAAGAGATCAAGACCATCCTGGTCAACATGGTGAAACCCCGTCTCTACTAAAAATACAAAAAATTAGCTGGGCGTGGTGGTGCATGCCTGTAATCCCAGCTACTCAGGAGGCTGAGGCAGGAGAATTGCCTGAACCCAGGAGGCGGAGGTTGCAGTGAGCCGAGATCGCGCCATTGCACTCCAGCCTGGGTAACAAGAGAGAAACTCCATCTCAAAAAAAAAAAAAAAAAATTTAGCTGTAAAGTCACTGAAAATACACAGGATAAATATACAAAAAATATATAAAATTAACTTTAGGACTGAAAGCAAGTAATTTCTGCCAAAATTTCTTCGTAAGTATAAACAAGAGCCAGTATTACCTGTGTACTTAACTATATTCCGAAGTAAAAGTAAGTGAACAGAAATTAAAAATCAAAACATGATTAGTAAAACCATCAAAGGGCCAGGCATGGTGGCTCACACCTGTAATCCCAGCACTTTAGGAGGCCAAGGCAGGTGGATCACCTGAGGCTAGGAGTTCTAAGACCAGCCTGGTCAACAAGGTGAAATCCATCTCTATTAAAAATACAAAAATTAGCCAGGTGTGGTGGCAAACGCCTGTAATCCTAGCTACTCAGGAGGCTGAGGCAGGAGAATCGCTTGAACCTGGAAGGCAGAGGGTGTAGTGAACCGAGATTGTGCCACTGCACTCTAGCCTGAGTGACAGAACAAGACTGTCTCCAAAAAAATAAAATAAAACCAGCAAATTACAGAAATAACAAAATCTAAAAGGCTATCAGAAAACATGAAAAGGCTTTAAAAATACGTAACGGTTTCCACAAGGTGACTAAGTTACATCTTCAGAAAAAATGGGCTATGCCTGCATTAACCTGTCTGTAACCTAAAATACTAAGGCCTTACCCGAACATATAGTTTGTTAAAATGAAATTCACTTTTTGAATACTGAAAATGAGAAAAATAAAATTTTTTTCAAAAAAATAATTTTGGCCAGGCACAGTGGCTCACGCTTGTAATCCTAGCACTTTGGGAGACCAAGACGGGCAGATCACCTGAAGTCGGGAGTTCGAGACCAGGCCGACCAACATGGAGAAACCCCCTCTAATAAAAATACAAAATTAGTTCGGTATGGTAACGTATGCCTGTAATCCCAGCTACTCGGGAGGCTGAGGCAGGAGAATCACTTGAAGCCAGGTTGCAGTAAGCCAGGATTGCACCATTGCACTCCAGCCTAGGCAACAAGAGCAAAACTCCACCTCAAAAATAAATAAATAAACACAATTTCACTGCATCCTGTCAGAAGAGAATTTAACC